GTACCCACCAAAGGCTCGTTCCAGAATTAGTTGTGTGGAGTTTAGATGGCCACGTGGCTGTGCTAGCTTGTGGGGCATGTAGCATAGCCCGTGAGATAGCATCAGGGCCAAGAACTCGTGTAGAACGTGTCAGGGTGGGAACCCTCTTCTCACCCCAGCACGAGTTGTCTGGGTATTGATTTGAGTATTGCAGCTCGATTTCTGAAGGACGAGATCATCAGTCAAGTCCTGAGGATCAGATAGTGTGAACCGTGCAGAAGTGCCAGCCCAGGCCCTGGCATAGGAGAGAGCAGTAACGACTCATTTGTCTGTCGTGTCTTGTTTTCCCAGAGTTCTCTTGTACCTCTTATTGCTCTGGAGCCTCTCGGTACCTCAGGAGGTGACAGGGCCTGTGATGCCTGCCTCACAGAGGACAGTGACCCTCATACAGACGAATGCCTGAGTTCCAGAGGCAGAGCGGAGGCCCATTTTCTTCTCAGCTTCCCGCTGTCTTTCTGGAACTTTATCTTCCAGATGAGAGGCAGCAGTTAATTATCAAATGCACAGTCTGTATTTTTTGGCATTGATGGGGAGGGGTTAGATGTGTCCAGTACCTCCAGGGTTAGAGAACAGCCTGTCCCACAGCGTGTGCCCAGGATGGGCAGGTGCCAGGCCAGGTCCTGCTCCTGGGAGAAGGGATGGAGCAGAAGCAGCAGCATCTCTTCCTTTAGCAGGAATGTTACCCCTCATTTCCCCAAACTAGGGATTTCCTCAGCTCAGAGGATATTGGAATCACAACCATTTAAATGGTTAAGGACATTTGTGTGTGAGGGGAAAAAAAGAAAAGGAAAAACAACTTCTGACTAAAAGTCCCTGCTGTCCTTGGGGTGCTGTGGGGATCCCTACCAGTAAGAAGCTCTGCTACTCCAGAGCAGAGGGAGCTCCGGCCAGCACTCCTGAGCAGAGGGCTCTGGACCAGGGCTTTGAATCCCTCGCACCTTGGCTGCTTTCCTGGGACAGTAATATATCTGTGGGGGGGTTTGAGGAACCAGAAATAATGTGTCAAAGCTCCCTGGAACAGCTAGCAGTGCCTAGAGGTGCTCAGAGCACGGTGCTACCTTGAGGTTGGCTTACTCCACCCCTGGAGAACGCTTGCCCTGGACTCCGGGTGGAGCAGCAGACCACACCTGTGAAGCGAACACGGCAGCTTCCAGTCAAGAGAGCCACCCGTGGGGGTGTAATTCAGTCACCAGAGAGTTATTAAACACCTATGTGATGTCGTTAGGCAGCTAGTTTAGTTCCTTCCCTGGTGGCTTGTGTGTGGAGTTCAGCGTGGTACTTTTTGGGGTACAGCCTGCCTGCTATGGTCCAGATCAGCTGCTAATACTCACTCAAGAAGGGAGACCCTCACGGGAGGGTCCGTACTAGAACGGAGAGCCAGTGTTCATCTGCTTATGAGGGGCATTTTGTTCCAGAAGCGCATTTTCTCTTAGAACAGGGCTGTGTCCCTTGCCCTCTCCTCTCATCTCAGAGCTACTTGTCTGCAGCTCTAGGTACCAAGTCGTGTGTGCACCCACTGTGCGCACTTGCCTTCTCCCGTGAGAGGGGACTGTGGCGGTGCCAGGAGGTGAGCTGGGAGGGAGTGTGGAACTGTGGTAGGCCTTCCTCCCTTCCTCCCTTCCTTCCTTCCTTCCTTTCCCTGCCAAACTTTCTTCTCAGTGCTTTGTAGGGAAAACGGGTTACTTTTTTTCCTAAGTTGTAAATCCATTCAAAAAGAAGATGAAGAATGTCTAAGTTGACTGGTACCCTAACACCCCTTTCACATTGGGTGTTGGCATTTTTCTTGTGTAAATATGTAGAGCAGACATCATGAAATTTTATTCTAATAGTCATCAAACATTTATTACCAGTTTTACTCATTTACAGTGTTATAGAGCAAATCCTTTCTTCTGTTTGCATTTGACAAGATTTAACATTTTGTTCTTATTTCCTCACTGTTGGAGTCTAGTTTTATTACTATTTTTTAAATTATTGTTTTTTGAGGTGAGGTTTCACTTCAGACTGATCTTGAATTCCTGGGCTCAGTGATCTTCCTGCCTCGACTCCCAAATAGCTGGGCCTGGAGGCATGCACCACCGTGCCAAGCTGTATTTTTGAATTTTATTTAAAAGAAATTGAAGTGTGCGTAGCTCATGGACTATCTGCATCCTTGGCACTAGCCCAGTTCCTGAAACTTAGATACTCGCTCAATGGATGAGACTTGCCCACAGCAGCTGGTAATGGCAAGTTTCCCCTCTTCCCTTTTCAGGTTGTTAGGGACCCTTGTGTCCTGAGCCACACAACGGTTCCTACTCTTTCCTTCTACTCTTGCTGACCCAGCTCTGTGCCTGGGTGTGTTGTTGTGACTCGAGGTCACTTGGGCCCAGGAGTAGACCATATTGAGTCTGTGGTACCAGTCAGTCTCATTCATTGTGTAGAATATTCCTTTTGAGCATAAAGCTTGAGAGCTGATTCTGTCACATATGTGAAACCACCACTTGTGGATTTCCAGGGACAGAGGAAATTTCACTGGTCCCCCTTGACCCATCTCGACCACCTTTATAGAAAGGAAGCCCTTCCTTTCAATACTTGAACAGTTCCCATCTGCCTGTTACCCCTTTCCCACCTTTCCCTTTGTCCCGTGGAGGAAGAGACTCCTGCCCCCTTGGTATTTTCCTGGTATTTCATTCATGATAACCATGAATTGCTAATTATATGTGATGAAGAACTCAGATTTTAGAACCTGGTTTTCAAGCTTTCTCTCACCATTTATTGTGAGCTGTGTGACCTTGCATAAGTAACTTGACCTTCAGCCTTTCAATTCTGTTCTTGTATAGCAGGAACAGGCATCCTCTCCCATAGATACCCTTGGTGGCTCTGGTGTCTTGGATTTGTTACCCCTTCACTCTCTTGCCCCTAAAAGTTAGCTGTTGTGCTGAGCCTCTTCTTGGCTCCAAGTGTTTAGCAGGCACTTAAATTTTGTGCAGAACTGATCTTCTCTTAGCGTCTGAACCACAGCTACATGCAGACAGAAAATGGCCTGGTGGGGCCACCGTGAGGCTCACCCCATACAAAAGTCCTGGTATTCCCTGAGGGCCTGGAGCAGAGACAGCTGCTCTAGCAGGGGACTTTCTGCTGCTGCAGGAATGGGCTGGGTGACTCCAGAAGATCCCTGGCTGGTAGCATAGGAGTCCATAGGAGAAGGGAACACTGTGAAATGTGGCACCTAGGCAGGGTGGCCTTTGTGATATTTTAGCAATTTGCAGAGTGGAGCCCCAAAGCAGGAGTGCTCACTGGGGGTCCTCTCAGTGAGAAGAGCCCACTGTCGGGTGCATGGCTGTGACTGGCTCTGCCTCTTCAGCCTGAGTGGTTTGGAGTGCCTGGCTCTAAAGTGCCCTAACCTGTTCCTGCTGGGTATCGATGACCGCGTTTACTTCTGGAAGCTCTGTGGTCAGCCAGAATGAACCCTTTCCACCAGCAATTAGCGTTTAGGTGATAGGACACCTGACTTATCTAAGTTTTAGGTTATTTTAAAAATTTTTTTTATTTTTTTAAAGAGAGAGAATTTCAACATTTATTTTTTAGTTATTGGCGGACACAACATCTTTGTATGTGGTGCTGAGGATCGAACTCAGGCCGCTCGCATGCCAGGCGAGCGTGCTACCGCTTGAGTCACATCCCCAGCCCTAGGTTATTTTTTGAAAATGTGTTGGTATAATGGAGAGAACACTACAGGGTGCTAGGTATTTAACCTCCGGGAGCATCAGTTTTCCCATCTGTAACACAGACAAAAGGAATGATAGTAATTATAATTACTTTGTAACCATAATGACAATAGTGATTAGTGTTCACAGTTTTTAGTGTGGATCAAGTATTGTTCCAAGCTCTCTTTGTATGTATTTGACTCACAGCAATCCTGTGATGTAGGTTTCATTATTATCTGTCTTTTATAGATAAGGCAATTAAGTCACAGAGAGGGTAGGTAACCTGCCCACTGTTGCCCAGCTGTAAGTAGCAGCTCTGGGATTGGTGCCTGGGCAGCCTGATTCTAGTGCCTGTGTTTATTACTATATCTCTAGGTTGTCTCCCAAGAAATGGTGAGGATTAATGGATGACATAGGGGAGGTACCTAGAACAAAGCCTTGTACCTTATAGGAGCATAGCTGTGACCAGCTCCTCCCACTGCTAAGCTAAGGCACTGGCCTCTTGGCCCTGTAGCTCGGGAAGTCACTGTCTCACCTGGCTGCATGCAGGTTGCCCTGGAAAATCCATCTGTGCTATGAATGTGGAGGGCCCTCCATCTTCCTGCTAGCAGGGGAAATGATTGCCCTTTGCCTGGGCCTGCCTTGAGTCTATTACTCAGAAATGGTGGGTTTGTCTTTCTCTTTCTAGTTAAGCCTCACACAGAGGGTGCGAGACTAAACTGGTGTGAATTGGGCTTTCTCTGGCCGAGTCCATCAAGATGGGGAGTGGGATCAATGCTTAGCCAAAGCGGAATGTGGTGGAAACTCTGGAGAATGAGGTCAGGTGTTGAAGGTGGGCCTGTGTCCACCCAGGTTTCATCCAGTCCTCGCCCCTCCAGATGGTTAGGATGGGCTGGGGCAGTCCTGACCCAGGGGCCCTGCTCACTTCCACATATTCTCCATACATGATCTCTGTCCTTTCCTTGAGGGATGGGGAAGGTTATTCAGCCAGGGTGTCAATCRTGTTGATCTGAGAACACGGACTGTTCTTCAGAGAGTTCTTTAAGCTTTTCAGGAAGATGTTGAGGTTTCCTCGATAACATGGAGACAGATGGAGGAGCTTGTGCACATAGGCCAGTGCCCAGAGCTGCTTACGTTCATGACTTTCTTTTTCTTACCCAACGGAAACCTTTCAGCCTGTGTGGATGGGTAGTGGAGAGCATGGAAGTTCTGGATGGGGTGACTTCCTTTTTTCCTTGAGAATGGGAAATTGCAGTGACCTGTGCTTTTCCTCCTTAGGTGTGTCTGCTGATCTTGAGCATCTGAAGCTGACCCCTGAGTCTGGGAGCTCACTGCTGCTGCCTCACCCTTTAGAGAGATGTCTGTTCCCTATGATGACTCCGTGGGCGTGGAGGTGTCCAGTGACAGCTTCTGGGAGGTAAAGCCTGGCACCCTGCTGGTGATGCAGAGCCCGGCCTCAGTCCTGGCAGCCTGTGTGTTGGTCGAGATGATGAGATGAACACACCCAGAGGCCGCCAGGCACTTGTGGTCAGGTCTGGATGGCAGCAGGGAAGGGGCGGTGTTTGCTGTTGGCCAGTTCAGGCTCACCTCCACTCGCAGGGAGGTGATGCTGGTCCTGCTGGGAGTCGGGTAGCTGAAGAGGTTGGGGACCTTTTCCATTCTAGATGTTTCCTTTTCTGCTTTGCAATTTTGTGACCAGGAGCAACATAGGCTGATGACCCAACTTAGCCTGAGGCAGCTTTACTTTTGTTGGTATGGAGACACAGACAGCTGTGATGTGACATCATGCTGCAGGGTGCAGGCAAGTGGCCAGAGGACTGACCACACTGCCCTTGAGCCCGATGCAGCATCTGCCTGCTGCCCTGTGCCTGTGAGGAACTCCCTTCCTGGCTGCAGTGTGAATGTTTGTGTTGTGTTTTGTTCCAGAAGCCATTCTTCCTGAGCCCCACTCACTTTTCCTGCCCACTGATGAAAGGAAAGTCAATTGTGTTGTTCGGGTGGTGCTGGGGAGGGGACCCAGGGCCCTGCACGTGGGAGGCAAGTGCTGTACACTGAGCTACACCCCCAGCCTAAAAGTCAGCTCTTGATCTCCTGTTGTCCCTGGGGCAAGACCCCTGGAGCTTCTTGGCAGCTGTCGACTTCATGGAAAAAAGCAGCGCCCTGCAGTGGAAAAGACCTGGGCGTGGGTTCCAGCTAAGCCGCCACAGCTGTGTGACTGTGTGACTTTGGGCAAGTGGCTCATCCGAGCCTCAGGGTCTTTATCTGTAAAGGTGGATACTGGTCCCCAGGGAAGACTGCCAGATAAAGTGGGACAGCCATCAGCACTGCACGGGCGCCCTCCTGACACAGGCGCTCTGGTGATGGAAGTTGARGCTGATGTCCTGGTGTTGGCCAGGGACAGCAAGAAACAGGGTGTCAGTTTGTGGCAAGTCGAACACGTCTACGTTATGATTTGATGGGGACGGGAAATCTCAGAAGCCCGGGGTTTGAGCCAAGGGGCTCAGATGTCCATCATTTGTACTCTCCTTTCCTGTTCCAGTGAAAGGCCCCAGTGGACTTTGGACTAAATCCTTCATTCCAGGATGAGTATGACCTGAGCCTGGTGCGGTGGTATGTGCACAGTCCCTGCATTCCGGGGGCTGAGGCAGGGGGATCGAATGAGCCCAGGAGTTCAAGGTCAGCCTGAGCAAAGTAGCAGCCTGTCTCAAAGAGCTGCTTCCTGGAGCACGAGCACATGAAGGGCTCTTTCTTCCAACCGGACCTCTGTGTCCTTCCCAGGGAGCACTTCCTCCAGGAGGCCTCCCTGGACCATTCCTGGCCAGCGTAGGCAGCCTTCGTGCCTGCTCATCCCGCATGTTGTATGGTCACTGCTTGCTTCTTCATCTGTACTATGAACTCCCTGCCAGCAAGGACGTGTTTCTCATATGACAGTCTGGGACTTAGCAGAGAGCCCGACTGAGGGAGGAGTGGCCGGGGGTGCGAGTTGATCTGAAAGGATGAAGCCAAACTGGGTGGTGTGTTAGGACTGCTCTCGAGATGCAGACAGATATTTGGAATAAGATATGTACTTAAATAACACTGAGCAGAAATCACTCTTTCTCTAAGCATTTATAGAGACCTGCTAGGCACCACGCCCTCTTCTGGACCTTGGGGACACAGCATGGATAAAGCAGACAGAGGGACTAAAATGGTCCTAGTTGGAGGCTGTGTGGGTCCAGCAGAAGGCCCTGCCTGCCGACTCGGAGCACCAGCTGGGTTGGGGTGGCCCTGGGCTGCCTGCTCCTAGAGAGCGGTGACCCCCTGGCCCTGTCGTGTCCCAGGCAGGGCGCATCAAGCTTGTACACATGGGTGGTGTACTTTTGATCTGTGACCTTTTCTGAGGGCATGTTAAGCTTCAAGATGTTTAGAAATGGAAACCAGGGCTCTTGGTTGGTTTTCACTGCACCAGGCCCTGCAGTCCTTCCAAGGCTGCAGCTGCCTCTTTACAGGTGGGAAAACCCAGGCTCAGAGTAGTTTAGGACTGCCGAGTTCCTGTAGGGAAAAGGTGTGGAGCTGGGATTTGGGCACAGGGCTCCCTCCACTCGTAGCCTCCGGAGCCTCTGCCAGAAGGGAGTTGTCCTCTGCAGTGGTGGCCACTCGTGAACACAGCAGGGTCCTCTGTGGGCTCAGAGAGGTGAGAAAGCCTGACTGGCTTCCCAAGCAGTTCCGTGGCATTGCTGGGCCCTGCTTCCCAGGTCGGTCATAATGATTACTGAGAACTTCTACGAAGAGCCTCACAAGGCACATGACACCCTCTTCCTTTTTCCTCGACAGACTCTTTACCCTGCCTGATGTGACACATGCAGCGTAAGCATGCTGCACTTGTTGGCAAGTGCACAGTCTTTATTTAAGGTTCTTCATATTTCTAGGAGAGTCACATTGCTGCTGATGGCCTTTGGTCACTCTGGGACTGCTAGACAGGCTGCTGTGACCTGCTCTTCAGAGCTCTGTCCCTAGCTTTTTAGGAGTAAGTTGTGTTCTTGTGAAGTTTGTTTCAGCCAATGAGATAATGTGGTTTTCCTAAGATCCTGCACTTCTCTGGTGGGTGAATGTCTCCACTTTGGTCCTTGGTCCAGATGGTGAGGTGGTGTCCTGAAGGGAGCTGGGCTCCTAGACTCTGGGGCTGCCCTTGTCATGGCCTGATTTGTCTGGTTCTGGACCTCATGACTTACAGAATTTTCAGAATTAAACCTTCTGAAAATTCCTCTGTGATTTTACAGTTCAGAAGACATACATATGAACCGTGGCTGGTTGCCTCTGACAGCATCCAAACATCAGCGCCGGGCGTTGGCTGGGATTTTGATGTTAGAGCAGAACTCAGCCRGTGCTGCGCGCTCTGTCCAGCCAAGGGGTTTTTGGATGGGGATTCTGGGTTTTCTCCAGGCTTCCTTTATACTTCTTGGTCGTTCAGGTGAGCCTGTATGAGTTGAGCACTCATCGTGTGCCAGACCTGAGCTTGGGACATGTCCCTGAGGTGAATACGACAGGGACAGTTTCCATCCTCGTAGAGTCCACAGCTAGCATCAGTGCCCTGGGTTCCTTCTGTTTTTCTGGTTTTGTTTTTTTGTTATTGTGGTGGTGCTGAGAATGAACCCAGGGCCTCTCACCTGCTGGGCAAGTGCTCTACCCCAGAACTGAGCCGCACCCCAGCGGGTTTTGTTTTATGTTGAGCAAGGTCTTGTCGGGTTACCCAGGCTGTCCTTGAACTTGTAGAGCTGGGATTGTAGGTGTGCAGCACCAGGCTGGCTTATCAGTGTGTGCTTGGTAGCCTTTAGCACCCTGCTGCACCTGGCCTTGGCTGCTGTCCTGTGGTGCAGCAGGAGCAGGGTGGACCTGTTGGCTTGTGATGCCAGTGCCTACCACTGGGTGTGGGACAGGGAGATACTGAAGGTCCTCCCAAGAGCTCTCTCCCTGCTGAGCCCAGTGTGTTCTCTGCGGGAGCCTGGGTTCAGGTGCAGAACGGGCCAGTTCTAGCAGGCAGCCACTGGACCTCCAGACAGCTCACTGCATGCAGGGTGGACACCACAGGGTAGAGCAGGCATGGCTGGTGCCAGTCCCCTTCACCTAGCTGCCCAGTAAGAGTTGAGAACCAGCCAGATGGTTCATTTTAGCTGCTACCCGGAGCATGGATTCTGTGGGTGTGGTTTTGGCTTGGGCCCTCCACGTGCCCCGTTTGCAGCCCTCTTGAGCCTGTGCATTCACTCATTGCTAGTGCTAGGGAGAATCGAGTCGTGCTTTTAGTGGGGGAAAGGAAAGGTAGTTTTCAGGGTGCATTCCCACAGGGTAGACTCCACAACCAGGGTGGCCTGCACCTGAATCGGGACCAGCTGCCCGTGCCAGGTGCCCCACACGCTGGTGCTGACTGGCACTGGACCAGCAGCACTGATCAGCATGTTGAATCCAAAGCCTCTGGTATCAGGGCAGAGCCAGGGTCCCAAGGGGCTTCTGAACCCAAGAGGCCTCTGCAGCGCCAGTTTTCCTCTTACCTGGGCCCTCAGTGGTGTGTGTGAGCCTGGCACGTGGTGATAGGAGTGGTGGCGGAAGTAGACCTTCCTAGGTGCGGGCAGCCTCCTGGCTGTCCACAGGGTTAGAGTGGCTCTGTACTTGCCTCCTGAGAACCCAACACTTCAGGGTTGTGCCATTGGGACACCACTTCTCTGAAGAAGAACTTTCTTTTCTCCCTGGGTTTCAATGGTTTGGAAGTAACTGTTTAAGGGGTTGGAGAGACATTTCCCTTTCTAACCAGTAGAGTTTAGAGTGGGAGAGGCCTTTAGGCTCAATGACACTGTAGTAGCTTGGCTCCGTTGTTGGTTTGGGCTGGCAGGGTGGGGTGGAGGTACCCAGGTGCAGTCAGCTGGGCTAGGGGTTTAGGGTGGCGGGAGTCATAAGTAGACAGACATCAAGCTCAGGGGTCCAGGGCCAGGGTAGAGGGAGACTGAGGTCAGGGACAAGGGAACTGGGAGGGTGCAGGGGCAGGTGTTCCTGGAGGAACTCCCAGTGGTGATTCCCTACCAGAGGGTTTGGCTTTGTACCTTAGGGGCTGGCCCCGTCCCTGGTGTCTCCAGGATTGTTCCTGCCTTCTTCTGTGGTTAGTTGGGGGATGCTTCTGGGTTTCTGCTGAGAGCAGCTGGCCTTCTGCAAGCACTTACCCAGGAAAAGGATCTTGCCATCCCCTGTGGCACCTCGCTTGGGTGCAAGGGATCATGAAGACGACGACAGTCCAGCCCCTCCACAGCCATGGATCATGCTTCTGCTGTTTGCCGGGCAGTTGACTGAAGGACAAGTGAAGTTGTACATTTCTGCCCAGGAGACCAGGAGGTATAGGGGAGTGTCGGGGTGACTGCTCGCAGGTCTGGGGTGTACTGTCTGCGTAAGCACCTGGGCGGGACAGTGCAGGGGTGGGCTCCTGGGCACCACATGCCCCGCAGGCACTGGGCACAGCAAACCTGGCTCAGGAGGAAGGAGTTTGGCTCAAAATAGCTTTGTTTAAACATCCTTCCTCTCGACAGGGTTTCTTTTACGTGTTCTGCCTTTGGACTCAGGATCTGCAAGTTGAAGTTTCTGGGTTACTAGTTCATCCACTTTCTAGTTTGTCATCTTGAACATTTTGATTAAAGATGGATGACTTAGTTGATCTTTGAAGTTGTGGAAATCTGGGGGTTTTGTTTAAAACTATCAAAGGACGGGCTCCCTTTGCAGGATGGGGAGCCTTATCTTCTTCCCCCTTTCACCTGATGAACAGCAGATCCTGGAACAGAGGGTGGGGCCAGCCAGTGGGGGCAGGAGCCAAGCACCCAGAGTTGACTGAAGGAGGTCCCAGGGAAATAGCAGTAGTAGTGCTGGGTCAAAGTCAGCCAGGAACTTGCAGATCCAGCTCCAGGTGGGCTGGACACGAGGCTGTTGGTGAAGCCATGGCTGTAGCAGCAGGCCCAAACCAGACCCTCTCAGGTGCTGCAAGGTAAAGAGCATCACCCTGTTTTGCAGATGGGGCCCCAGTGAGGTTTGGTGTTGTCTGGGATGGTGTTTCAGGGGAGCACCCAGGTGAAGGCTTAGGACACATCGGGATCGTAGGGTCGGGTGGAAGGAAAGTTGGAGACAGGAATTTGAGGATCTCATAAAAACAAGGATTCAGAGAGCACAGTTTTCTAAACATAACCCTTAGTGTCTTTAAGCATGCATGACAAATTTCACAACTCCAAAATCAGTTGTCACCCCTATTTGGAAAGGAGGATTCAGAGGAGGGCTTGGAATGGGAAGTCAGAAGGTTGCCTGAGATGGGGAGCCCTGTGCTTTGACCAGGGGAGACCCTGCAGGTAAGTATAGGATGCAGAATCTGCAGAGCACCACCCTGGGGAAAAGGGACTCCGTCCTGAACCCTGCAGCCTGCCTGGGACACCAGTGGGCAAAAGCTGGTGGGACTCCCTGGACTAGACTTGTTAAATAAAAGGCCTCAGGTTATTCCATTGCCTGTGCCTCTGAGCTCTCAGCAACTCTTTGGTCCCCTCCTCCGTGGAACAGAATCCCAGCCTCTGCGCTATTTGGGTACCGAGAAGACACTGTGGAGTGCCCTATGTGTGCCTAGCCTGGAGGATGGAGAGAAGGAAAGCTGCAAGTCTTCCCTTGCAGCCTACATTTTAATATATCTTACAGCACAGCCCATGCAAGGGGACCGGGGTACAGGAGGCACACAGAGGGAGATGTGTGCACTCAGGCTGCGCTGGTGGTGCTCACTCCTCTGGGCTGCCCTGACCACCAGAGTCCCCTTCCCATCTGTACTTGTTGTTCATCTGGCCCTCAATCCCACGAGGGTGGTGACAGTTTGTTCTCCATTACATTCCTGCACCTCTCTTGTCCCTGCTTCGCAGATGTTTGTTAAGCCAGAGGGTGTTGAGAGTTGCTGAGAGCTCAGAGGCACAGGCAATGGAATAACCTGAGGCCTTTTATTTAACAAGTCTAGTCCAGCCAGACCCTCAGAGGTTGAGAGTTAGGAATGCCGTGGTGGCAGATCCGGCTCAATTGAGATCCCAGAACTGTGAAGGCTTGGAGTCATCCAAGCCTCGCCTCCCCCCCCCCCTTCCCCCCAGGCTGAGTGGACAAGATGATTGAATGGGAACCAGAGGCCAGGTTGAGTCAAGTGAGGGCCGGGTGGGGAGCTGCCAGCCTGCAGTGGAAGTGCCTACTGGTGCCCTGCTCTCCCAGGCTCAGCTTGGACCCCGCCTTTCAGCTGAAGGGGCAGAAATGCAGAGAGGAGATTCAAGGTCACACGTTTGGGGCAGGGCCAGATCAGCGCTGCTCTCCTTGTGAGAGCCAGAGGGCAGGCGGCCCGTAAGTGTAAGTGCGTGAGTTTTCAGAAGGTATTTAGCCCTCTTGTAACCATCTGTAGGACTGTAATTAGGAATCCCTGAAAGAGTCATCTTTCACCCTTGTCCTCCAAGCCTGCAGAGAGGGCACTAGAACTGCTCGACCACCTTTCTCAGCCTTGGGTGTACTGTCCGACTGTGGGGCTTGCCTGGGAGGAGGCTTAGCGCAGCTGGCTTACTTTGAACCTCCTCACCAGGGTGGAGAAGACAGCTGTGGTACTTCCACACACGGTCACAGGTTAAGTGACATGATTGTTCTCAAGGTAAAATCAAGGGCATCCTAGCAAGTGGTCTTAGTAGGGTGCAAATTTGGGGTTCTTGGGATGAGCCTTGTTGGCATACAGTGGAGAGAGGAGCGGGGTCTGTGCACCGCCTAGTGGTTCTATGCACTCTCTCATTGTGGCTCCAGTGGTGGCCCCAAGGCCAGCACAGTTTCCTCAGCCACCTCTAGGACCACCGATAGCTTGCACTGAAGCCAGGAGTGTGTACTGGCTGAGAAAGCCTTCCCACCTGTGACTGCCTTCGGGTGTTCCTAGTTGCACTGTGTGCTGATGAACCTATCAAAGCTTGGCTTGTGGGGAAATCCCTTCCTCCAGGGCTTTTGGAGAGCCCACCGCCTGCTGTGATGGTCAGCTCCTGCCTGTGTGAGAACTGCTCGCAGCAGGAGATGAGAAGCCACTCTGCATCCCAGCTCCATGGCAACCGTGGAGGCTGCCTAGGCCTGTGATTATCTTTTCTCCTCTTGCCTCCAGCTCAGCAGTACTGAGCTGTGTTTAATCAGGGTTTGTTTGTTTTTTCATCGGGCTGTAAGTGTCAAAATGATAACAAGGCCCCATTTTAGGAAAAACAGGTACACTTCTAATTGGTTGTGAAAACACTTGGTTTTGCCTTGGGAAAGGGCCTGCTGAAGTTTGGAGCCACAGCTCATGTGTAGATCATGTGTGTCTGGCTGAGCTGCTGGCCTTGCTGAGGGGTTTCCACCAGGCCACACCTGGGAGGAGGGGCGTCTGTGGAGGGAAGGACTAGGCACAAGGGGGGGGGGGCAGATCTGCTCCCTTGCCGAAGCAGATAGGCTGGAAATCAGGCGGTCCTCTGGAGAAGCTGCCCAGGCAAATTACCTGTGGGGGTTCTGTGCTGGGCAGGGGTCATCCCAGCCTGTTTAGAGCGCCGGCCTCAGGGGACAGTCCTTCTCAAGGCGCCACAGCCCTTTTCTCTCCCCTTGCCATCTGTGCGCAGGGCCCAGGGGCTGTTCCTCTGCAAAGTCTCACCGCAGACCCACCCACCCACCCACGCCCTCCTCCTCCACTGGCTAACCCAGCTTAGGAAGGGAGAGACTCAGGGGTGCCGTGGCCACCCCGCACAGAAAAGGCATGTGTCCATCCTGTCCTCTAGGAGCTTCCAGGCTGGCCCTGAACAGAGAACATCCTGGTGGTCAGCCAGGCAGAGACTGTTAGAAAAGGCAAGATGGATTTTTTAAGACAGTGGAAGAAAAAAGAATGAGAATATAATAGATCCTTGCTTTTGTCATTTCCTCTGGGTGCTCCAGGGTCAGCTGCCCTATACCCTTGCAGGTCAGTGACTCAAAGGATGAAATATTAAATATTTTGATTTTCACCCCAAATTAGACATTAAGGCTATTTCAATTATAGTTTTATTATTTCTAATTTAGATGAGCTAGTTTCTCCTTTCATATGTAAAATAAGCAGTCAAAACTCACCTTGCCCTTGACAAAGCAGATAAGAATTAAACTTAGCGGGAGTCTGTCCTTCTGCAGCCACTGGAAAACCTACCTTTAGCTCCAGCCCAGCTGCTGCAGCTTTGAGATCTCAGCCTGGTTTGCTTATCTGAAAAAGAGGTGGTTGTTCCTACTTGGTAGTAGGTGGCAGTGGTTGGAGGTGTGCACTTCCTAGTCTGGTGCCTGGCTGAAGCTAGGTGCTCAGTAAGGGGGAAATGGCTTTATTACTAAAACTGGCAAGTGATAATCCAGCATGTAATGACATCAGAGCAGGTTTACTTACAAGTCACCTAGTCTGGGAAGCCGTCCCTGGCCCCTCCGTCTGCCTCCCTCCCGGGCCACAGGTGGCTTTCTGCCCAGCACCTGGCTGCAGTGTACTGAGGAGCTCTGGTTTCCTGAATTGCGCCCCCTGTGGTAGTACAGGCAGGGAGGCTGTTGTCCAGCATGCAGGGTGTCTTTCAGACTGGGGAGGGGGAGCCCGGCCTGGTGGCTTGCCCTGTAGGCAGCAAGGGGCTGGCAGGTGAACAGCTGGCTGGGCGTCCGCCCCACAGCAAGGCTCTGTCTCCTAGGTTGGGAACTACAAGCGGACGGTGAAGCGGATTGACGATGGCCACCGCCTATGCAGCGACCTCATGAGCTGCCTGCATGAGCGTGCCCGCATTGAGAAGGCCTACGCGCAGCAGCTTACCGAGTGGGCTCGGCGGTGGAAGCAGCTCGTGGAGAAGGGTAGGGAGGCTGGCCCCGCGCCAGGCGCTCACCGGGGCTCTGGGGAATGCTCCGCGCTCTCTGACCTGTGTCTCCCAAGATCTGGGCAGCAGGATACCTTACATTTCTGCGGCTGTGATTTTCACGGGGCTGGTGGGAGCCTTTCGCCCACTGCATGAGCTTTTGTCCCTTTTCCTTGGGGACTCTGAACTGCTCTTTGCAAATAGCCCTTGAGCCTCCTGTTCCAAACCGGTCGTCCGCAGGCACTCCGCCTTGATGGCCAGCTCGGAACAGCTGTGGTGCTGACTTGTGAGGAAGTTCCTGTCACCTGCAGGCGCTCTGCTCAGAGTCTTGCTTTCTCACACCAGAGCTGTTCATTTCTAAGCCCAGATCAGGCTAGATGGTGACAACTGGCTGGCTTTGTAGCTGGGAGTCTTAAAGGGAGTGACTACAGTGTCACATGGTGGACTTTTGTCCCTTTGCCCTCCCTACCAACATCTGTGTCCACAGATGCCACTGTGAGGGTGGAGCCCACTTCCCAGCTTAGGGGTGGGGCTTGATTGAGTTCCTAGGAGGGACACAGCGTAGGGGAGCTTCTCGGGAGTGCTTGGGGTAGGCTCTCCCAGGGCCAGCTGACCTCAGAGGAGCCAAGCAGGGAAGGCAAGCCCCTGGGCATGGGTTCAGCCCTGCCTTGACCAGGTGCCTGTTCCTTCCCTGGATGCCGAAACAGGTCATTTAAGGGGCTTACAGCACAGCCTGGCACAGGGCGTGTGAGCTTTTGTCCCCTTTCCTTGGGGACTCCAGACTGTTCTTTGCAAATATCCCTGTTCTAGCCCTTGTCACCTGCAGGACACACGCAGGCTTGCTGGCTCAGAACTCGGGTTCGGAGCTCAGGTTGTAGAGAGGCACGTAGCCCTGGGCGGGGGAGACCTCCCTCGGCCAGTGGCAGCCCTCTGCTGCCTTTCCACCGCTGTCAGCRTCCTCCCTCGCCTGGGTGTCTGGAGGGCACTGTGACTCAGACAGCAGGCTGCTCATTTTGCAGTCCCCTCATTATGCAATCCCAAGGGATTAATGGTTCTTCTGCTGTTCCCAAGCATGAGTTGTGTGCCCCACTCCTCTGTCATTTCTTGGCCCGGTCACTGCTACTCCTTGTGAATACCTCAAGGACCTGGCCAGGGTCTCATTTTTACCCTCAGCTTTGTCATAGCTCTGCTCTTCCCCTGCCGGGTCCCCTTATCAAAAGTGACAGACCAGATTTAAGTTTCCTTCCTGAGCATTGTGGACCAGAGCAGCAAGGAGCCGCTGAGGTGGTGTAGCCCCCTGGGACTGTCTCCTGCTGGCCTACCTCCCCTCCTCCCTCCTCCTCCAGGGACAGGATTGGTCCTGCCAAGGAGACGGGCCTCCATCCCAGCATTCTGGCTGCTGCTCCGGGCTGGGAGCCTGCCTGGGAGGCTGACAGCCACAGCGCTGGCCAGGGGCTGCCTGAGAGCCCCACTGTCAGGTGTGGGTATGGTGGGTACAGAGCAGCCTGGGATAGAGGGGGACCCATTTCAGAAAGCCTCCCCTTCTCTGACCATCTGTAAGCAAATTAATGCCTCCAAAGTATAGAAATTTGCATTTTTAAAGAGCTCATTGCCTTAAAAAAAGGAAATGCGTGTGGGCCAGGCTGTTCCCATATGAACAGCTGCAGGGTGACAGGAAATCCCCGACACCAGCTGCGACCAAGTAACCCAGTTCTTGTCCCATGCCAGGGCCCCAGTATGGAACGGTGGAGAGGGCCTGGATGGCAGTCATGTCTGAGGCGGAGCGGGTGAGCGAGCTGCACCTGGAAGTGAAGGCCTCGCTGATGAACGAGGACTTCGAGAAGATCAAGAACTGGCAGAAGGAGGCCTTTCACAAGCAGATGATGGGAGGCTTCAAGGAGACCAAGGAAGCCGAGGACGGCTTCCGGAAGGCCCAGAAGCCCTGGGCCAAGAAGCTGAAAGAGGTGCCTTTCTCCCGCAGGCCACTGCTGGCTTGACCTCTGTCCTGCTGGCCACCCCACCACCAGGGCTCTCTCCTGCCCACACTCCCAGGAGCTCGTGCTGCTGCCTTAGCCATGGGAGGCCACAGATGGTAGAGGAAAAGCCACCCCTTAGCCCAGAGTCTGAGTGACTGACATTTACCCAGATCGCAGACACAAGTGCTTAATGAACATTCTTTAAATGTAATCCCTACCAGCCCGACTTGGAAACAGGCTAGGAACTGTATATTAGTGGTGGAGCTCAGAGCGAGAGCTCTCACCCCCTAACAGTAGAAAGGACTGACTTTTGTTATTCTTTTGCTTGGGTTTTTCTCCTAAATTTGCAGAGGGTACTGATATTCCATTTTCTAAAATGAGCAACCGGTCACGGAGTCTGTTCAGGCCCCTGCTAGCTGGAGGCCGACCTCAGCCACCCCAGCCTGCAGCTGTGCCCTGCACCCCGCTACAGCCTGGGCCCCCTCCCTGCTGGGCACACCTCCTTCTCCAAGTGGCTTTTCTCAGGAGCTGTGCTGCCTGCCCTCTCATAATTGTTCAGAAAATGCCTCCAGTCTCTGGGTTTTTACAGCCATCTTTCTTTTCCTTCTCACCCCTGGGCCTATTCACAGTGGAACTGTTTCCTCTCTCACAAGGCCGATGCTCCGAATGCCTCTTTTTCTCTAAAGTGAACCTAGGGCTCTGGAGCGCACCAGGGACCCGCACTTTGACACCTCCGTGCGAGTGCGTGTGGAATCACAGGCGGCAGCATGTGCGTCCTCCTCCCCACCAACACACACAGCCTGCTTACTCGCCCACAAGATAGCCCCTTTGGAACTTCCCTGCCTGGCATGCACTGGCCTTGGATAGCCATGCCTCCTCCCTGGTGCTCCATGTCCGCTCAGCTGACTTGCTCCAGCCATTTGTGAGTCTGTCGGCCCCCTGGTGTTCCTTGGCTCTTGCCTGCTTTCTTGGTGGTCCTGTTTTGGAAGTAGAGTGCATGGAACCTGTGCTTCCTTGTGCCTTGGCTCAGCAGCAGACACACGCCCAAGTCTGTGTGACCTCTGGTGAGGATCCTGGACTTTCAACAACAAGGCCTTCAGAACTCATTCTCCTTGTAGGTAGAAGCAGCAAAGAAAGCCCACCATGCAGCATGCAAGGAAGAGAAGCTGGCCATCTCCCGAGAGGCCAACAGCAAAGCAGATCCATCCCTCAACCCTGAGCAGCTCAAGAAATTGCAAGACAAGGTAGAAAAATGCAAGCAAGATGTACTGAAGGTAAACTGCACCGTATCTGTCACGTAGTAAGCCTTTTGCAGTTGCTTGGTTGGCTGGGTGGGTGTAGAGATAAACAACGAGAAACACTTCCTTCCCTCTGGGTACTGACCTTATTACTTCCACTGTGGTGCCTGCCCCAGGCGAGGGGCAGAGCCAAGTGCTGGGCAGCAGGAGGGAAGGAGGTGCCCAGGGGGCGGGTGTATCTTGGAGCCCATAGGAAATTGAGGGCTGGGAGAGGGGTGGAGCTGTCCTGCATTCATGGCAGTGCCAGGCCCGAGAGAGCACGGCAGAGGCTGTGGGAGCCTGGGCAGCAGGTAGTCTCCTTTGATGAGGAGACAGTCGGTGCCCAGGCAATTTGAAATCCTGGGCATGCTTCTGTTTCCCTGTAAAAGAAATTTCTGCCTCCAGGGGTGAGTGAGGAGATGACAGGAGATGATTTTGTAAAAGTGCTCTGTAAACTGAAGTGCCCCACAGATCCTGGGTGTGATTCTTCCTGGAAGATCCTGGAATCACAGGAGTCTAAAAACTAGGCAGCATGTTTAATTTTGAAGTTTCTTGTAAGTGAGGGGCCAGCCCCTTGTCCATGCCCTGCTTCCTCTGCTCTGCGGTGAGGAGCTGGCTGGAGGACGCTCTGCTGACAAGCTGCCTCAGGGGTCTGGCCAGACCTGGCTTTGCAGGAGCAGATGGGCTGGAGCTAGAGAGGGTTGTGCTCCACACACAGAACTGGAGGCTACACGGAGCAGCAGGAGTCATGGGCTGATTGCCAGGCCTGAGTCGAGCGTCACCATGCCCTGTGGATTGGGAAGTGGCACATGTGCATTGTGAGAGAGGCAGCCAAGGCCAGAGTTGAAGTCATATGTTGCCCAGTGGCTGAGGAGCAGGGGTTTTGACCCCGGGGCCAGTGTCTTTCCACACTACTCCCCTGCTGGGGAGGAAGCGTGACCCTGTGAGAGTCCATCAAATGTCAGAGTCCCTTTGGGGAGCAGCGCCTCTGGCCTCCATTGCTGGGGTGGGGCCAGGAATTAGGGGGTTTTGAAGCACTCCAGGTGCCTTCCTGTGGGATTAAATGAGGGACCTGAGCCTACATGCTGAATGTGGGGGGTGCCCCTAGGTTTTAAGTCAAGGAGCAGGGTACACTGGCACACGCCTGTAATCCCAATGTCTTGGGAGGCTGAGATAGGCGGATCACAAATTCAAAACGAGCCTCAGCAATTTAACAAGGCCCTAAACAACTTAGCGAGACCCTGTCTCTAAATAAAATATGAAAAAGGGCTTGGGGATGAAACAACCCACCAGGCACCATGGTACATACCTGTAATCCCCATGGCTCTGGAGGCTGAGGCAGGAGGATCACGAGTTCAAAGCCAGCCTCAGCAATTAAGCAAGCCCCTAAGCCACTTGGTGAGACCCTGTCTCTAAATAAATATAAAATAGGGCTGGGGATGTGGCTCAGGGGTCGAGTGCCCTTGAGTTCAATCCCTGGTACCCTCCAGAAAGAAAGAAAGAAAGAAAGAGAGAGAAAGAAAGGAAGGAAGGAGGGAGGGAGAGAGGGAGGGAGAGAAAAGGAAAGAAGGCAAAGAAAGAAAGAGAAGTAAAAGGGAAGGGGCCGGGAAGAAACAAGCCAAGGAGCGCTCCACCCTGGCCAGGATGGAATTAGGTGCGCTCGAGGGCGAGGGCGCCTGGAAGAAGACGGAACCTCTTCTTGTGGATCGGTTGTGGGGTGCTTTCATGTTTCACAGACACATCAAAGCCACGCTTCTGCACAACAGAGGTGCAGTGTCGGTAGGGGGTTTCCTCCTGGGGCCTCCCCACCTCTGTTCTGCTAGTGATATAGATGCCTTGGAGGTTCTTATAGCCTTTGAGTCCTGCGGAGAGCCCAGTTCCCCCGACCCTTGAAAACGCCAGCATTGACTGGTTGCACAAGGACTTGGGTTTGTGTAGCGGCCAGGCAGAGATTGCATTGGGCAGTGTCCATCAGAGAGGAAGCTCTTGTGTTTGGTGCCAGAATACTCCAGTGCCCCAGAGGGCGAGGGCTGCCTCTCCATGCAGTCAGTGAATATTCACTGGGAACTTCCTGCGAGCTCTGCCTGTAGGTCTCCTGAATCATGAGGACCCCAGCTTAGCACATGGGCTGCGCTGGGGGAGAAGCGGGGCTCAGCACCATCAGCACAGCCTGGGAACAGGCCGAGTCCAGGGGTGGGAGCACCGACTGCACTCCAGGGGCTCCCGGGAAGCCACCTGTTTCTAGCTCCTGCCCCACAACCTGGGTGCTTGAGCCCACTGCCCTGCGTGTCCTGTGTCAGAGCCGGGACTCCACACTGGGCTCCACACAGGGCTCCCTGGGCAGCGGGTGCAGGCAGAGCTGATGGAGACGGGGAATAACCACAGTGGCTGTGGAACTGTCTTCCTGCTGAGCATCCCCCAGCCCTGGCAGGGATGACCTTCTCCTGTGTTCTTGGAGGACCCACGCATGGCCACCTTTGAGAGCTCAGAACAGAAGTGAGGAACCACAGATGCCAGGAGAGGGGCCAGGGAGGAGCAGGCCCGAGGGGATGGGTGGGACCTGCCCCCAGAAGATGGGGAGAGGCTTCAAGAAGAGGGACCTCTGCTAGACATGGTGGTGCACACCTCTAATCCCAGCTACTGGGAGGCTGAGGCAGGAAGATTGCAAATTTGAGGTGAGCCTGGGCAACTTAGACCCCATTTCAAAATTTAAAAAGGGCTGGGGATGTAGCTTACAGGTAGATGACCCCTGGGTTCTCTTCGGAATACAGAGGGGTGGGTATCCCAGCCCCTGAATCAGCAAAGGGTGACTGGGAAGGGAGCAGGATGGGCAAGGCTGGCAGGGCAGACTCAGCGTCCTGGGGGAGCAGAGAAGGTGCCTCAGAGGCCTGCAGGCTTGGGAGGACTCAGTCCTTCCCCAGAAGGCCCCACACATGAACAAGGGAGACCAAAGCAAAGTTCCCAGGTGGAGCCCCTGGCTACCCCCTTGTTTCTCAGGGTCTCATGGTAGAGAACCCTGCAGGCGAGAGATGGCCCCAGCCCTGCTATGCCTCCCTTCATGCCAGGGGGCTGCCACCAGAAAGCAAAATGCCCTGGCCAGCAGAGCAGTGGGCCAGCATGGTGTGGTGGGGAGAGAGTGGAGTCTGTGGACGAAGCCACTATCCCCAAACACCTGCCTGCCAGGCAGGAGCCTCACATGTTTTCTAGCTGTCCCTGGGTGCTCTTGAGATAGGGATGAAACCCCTTCTCAGGACCGTCTGGAAAAGAGCAGCGGTGTGGGGGACAAGGGATGAGACCTTGCAAGTGCCTGCTTCAGCGCCTTTGCGCCTGTTGTTTGCACTCTGTGAGGTGGGGAGTGTGCCCATTTTTTGCTAATGAAAGTAAGGCTCCAGGAAAACAAAAGAGCTCTGGGGTTCAGCCCCAGCCCTCTGTGGCACTTAGAGCTGTGACTTTGTTTCTGTGGTGACTCACTGAGCCATTGCTGCTGGGCACCAGGGCCAAGGCTGCAGGGTGGCCCTTCCCAAAGGCAAAAGGGACAGGTGTGTGGCACGGGTGGCATCATGCACACTGAGCTCTGGAGTGACCCCTGCTTCGCCTGTGTCTGTCTGCCTGGGCCTCACTCCAGTGAGAAGCAGGGCAGGTGCACAGAAGCAGGGCGACTGGGACTTGAGCTTGAAATCCGTCTGAGAGCTCCTGCCCTTTGGGTTTGAAATCCTGTGGGCCTGAGAAGCTACCCGGCAGGTGGGGTGAATGGAAAGGAAATGAACATCTTCTTATGCCTGGGTTTTCATTTAGACCAAAGAGAAGTATGAGAAGGCCCTGAAGGAGCTGGACCAGGGCACTCCCCAGTACATGGAGAACATGGAGCAGGTGTTCGAGCAGTGCCAGCAGTTTGAGGAGAAGCGGCTGCGCTTCTTCCGGGAGGTTATGCTAGAGGTTCAGAAGCACCTGGACCTGTCAAACGTGGCTGGGTAAGTTTCCTTCTGCTGGAAAACACAGGGGAGTTGCTGGGGAGTGGAACTCGGGTGCCGTGCTGCAGGCCTGGGGGCAGTGGCAGCCAGAGGCCTCCCACTGCAGCCCTGAGCCCAGGGTCCCTCGTGCCAAGCCCCTCTGCAGCACTGCCAGCCAGCACCTTGTGCTTCTGGGCAGGAAGGGGCCATAGCTGTGATCAGCGCAGCTGGGGGTCTGATTTCCCCCTGGACGCGAGTCCCATGTTTTCCAGGCTGGGTGTCCCCTGTCTCTGGACAGGCTCATGCTGAGGTCCCTCATGAGGTCCTCTCACCCTTGCTGTCCACTCCCCTTCACAGGGGTCCTAGACCTCCTGGGAAGGCTCAGACCCCTCAAGGCTTGGTTCTGAACTGTGACACGGGATCTATGACGTCTCTCCTGGGCCCTCCTTGTCTTTGGTCAGAACTCCAGACTTCCTGGGGCATTGAAAGAGTTCTACTTTCATCATTCATCTAACAGAGCCATTAAGACAGAAATCAGAGGTCAAGATCTGTTTATAGGAAATTACATTCTCCTTGTTATCTTCTTCATTTAAAAAAAAAGAAAAACAACAATTATTGTATAGCCAACCTGCCACCATGCAATTAATCTTCATGACAGCCGTGAAAAGTACACAGCACTGTCCCTGTCTTGTTGATAAGGACATGGTGGATAAGGGTTAAGTGACCTGTCAGGCCAGGGGAGTGGGTGTGTCCTTCTCTCTGCACGTGGGGTCATCTCTGCCTCATATGTGATTAACCTCAGACTGCAGCCAGGTGTGCGCATCTTGACTCCCTGTCTTCCAAGCCACTGGGTGAGGTGGCCAGTTGCATCCTACGGCTGCTGTAACAGTTCCAAAATTTTAGTGGCTTGAAAACTGGAGGTGTTTATCACCTGACAGTTCTGGAGGCCAGAAGTCCAAAATCAAGGTGTCGGTTGTGCCACACTTCCTCCAGGGCAGATCCTTCCCACCTCTTCCATCTCCTGGTGTCTGCCAGAATCCTTAGCTTCATCAGCTTCTGACCACATCACTCTAGGCCTCCTGGTCTTCTCTCCATGCCTGTGTCATCATGTCACCTTCCTTCTGTATCTAGTCCAAATTCCTCCTTTTAAAAGAACATCAGTCTTTATTGATTGATTGATTGATTGTGCTGGGAATTGAACTCGAGGGCACTCGACCACTGAGCCACATCTCCAGCCCAATTTTGTATTTTATTTAGAGACAGGGTCTCACTGAGTTGCTGAGGCTGGCTTTGAACTCGCAGTCTTCCTGCCACTGCCCCCCAAGCAGCTGGGATTACAGGTGTGGGCTGCCAAGCCCAGCCCTTATTGGGGGTCTTAATGTTCTCGTTTGAACTTGCTTACATCTATTAAGACCCTGTTTTCAATCAGGTCAAATTTAGAGATCCTGGGACTAGGACTCCAATGTGTCTTTATTAGAGGACAAACTCGATCCTTAACAGAGGGCGACATGCCTGCTTAACAGAGGAAATGAAGGCCCAGAGAAGGGGACTAACTTGCCAGCGACGCAGATTATGAGTGAAAATACCAGGTCCAGCCCTGACCACCCTGGCTCTTGCTTCCTGGAGTGATCAGAGCAAGGCCCCATGGTGCAGTGGGCATGTCCTGCCTCTCAAGCGGCCTTCGGACTGGACTGCCTTTGCACTCTGCTAACCAGCAGCTTTCTGAGGGCCATGGGGCAGGGGGCTTTTGGCACTCTCCAGTTGCCGCTCCCTCCCCTCAATGTGCCCCAATGCAACCGCACAGTGGTGCCCGCACAGCCCATGAGTGCCATCTGACCCGGAGCGAGGCTCACTGCCTGCCTTCTGCTCTGATCCACCGTCGTTTGTTGGAAGCAAGCTGTGGTGGGTGGTTGTCCCCATCTGTGCATGTGACAGACAGCAGCCTTCGCCTACCGGGGAGGGCACTCCTGAACCACTGGGAAATCGACTCATGCTGGCTACGAGACCTGGGGGCCTGCTGCAGCTGGCACTGGGTGGGGGGAGTGGTGGCCGGCCCCATGTCCCACAGCACCGTGCTGCTTTCTCTGATTTAGCTACAAAACCATTTACCGGGACTTGGAACAGAGCATCAAAGCTGCTGATGCAGTGGAGGACCTGAGGTGGTTCCGAGCCAATCACGGGCCTGGCATGGCCATGAACTGGCCACAGTTTGAGGTAAGAGGAGGCTGCGTTACCCCATCTCCCAGGAGGGGACCTGGACCCATGGCCAGACTCTGTCAGCATTAGTCCTGGTTATTAGGCAGCCTTCGTGGGTGGCTATGGTACGGACCAGGTTTGGTCCCAGGTGCCACAGGCAATACTGAAGGCCTTCTGAGTCTCGAGGGATGGGGCAAGGTAGGGACATTGACTGTCACGTGCTGACTACTGGCACTCCCTTCCTGCTGCTGTTCCCACAGCTGCAAGGACACACGGGACCTCCTGTCCTGCCCCTTCCTCCAGGGTTGGCTGGGAGGGCAGCAGCCACAGTGTTCCCTGGCCTCCCTGCATTGGGCACCCTCCCTCTCCTAGCCTCCCGTCTGTGGGATGAGCCTTCCAGGGTCTTTACATCACAAACCCCAGGGCCTGGGGAACTTGGGTGATGGTAGCATAGAAGGCAGTGGCCAGAAGTCCTGCCACCCCGTTCCCTGAAAGAGGGCGAGCCCCTCCTTGTGGCAGGCCTAGCCCATGGTGTCAGCCACGTCCCTGTGCGCTGGGGAGGCTCTCTGACTCTCTTGCCTCCTAACTCACCGTGTTGCAGCCGTGGGGTGAACGAGCCACTTGCCCTCGTGTGGCTCAGTTTCCCGAATGTGAGATGGGAATGACAACCTGGAGTGGTGGGGCGGTGACCTGGTCCTGCTGGGTTATGGGCTCGACTCTGGTCCCTGAAAGTTGGCACTGGAGAATGCCAAATGCCACCTCCCCCATGGCCCTTGGAAAAGCCAGGGCCACCACACACGGTCCCTTCTCAGTCTGCACTGGGGTCCGACCTCGCCCTGTGCTTCTGTCTCTGGACTTTCACACGGTATCTCCAAGTGCCAGGGTGGGGCCCCTGGGGCTGAGCTCTTCCCACCTGCCCAGCAGAGCTGCAGAGCAGGCTGTGCCCCTTCTAAGAGGCTTTGGGGTTAGTAGGGGCCAGCCCTCAAGTGCAGGTGGCCCTGGAGGGGACAGGCAGCCTCCCCTCCCCTGGCAGCCCCCTGGGAGGAAGTGTGAGCTGGAGTCTGGGCACTGTTTGGCGTTCAGCCCACAGTGGTGCTGCTCCTCCAGTGGCCTGGGACACTGTTGTTGGAAGCAACAACAGTGGGATTCTTCTGTGTCCCTCAGAGATGCCCGTTAATATCAAGAGGGGAACTGAGGGAGGAATATCTGACAGACTGTCTCCCTGGAGAGGTGTCCTGGCCAGAGCCCGTGGGTTCCCTGTCCCCGTGCTCGCTGGGCACACATCTGCCATTGGCACCAGACTGCTTTTCTTTTCTCTAATGAAGTTATTTGCTTTTGCTTTTCATGCCACCAGGATGAAGTAAGTCTGATTTATGATTAACTCATGGCTTGCCCAACCCCCCCGTGGTGTGTGTCACCCAGCTCGACCCTGGGGGCGGGGGATGCCCCTGCTCTGTGGCAGAACAATTGATGCCCCTTTGTGTCAGGGCTGTTAGCTGCTGGACCTCCTTCCAAAATCACTTGATGCCAATCCCATCAGCCTTTGGAAGCCACCCAGGCAAGATGGGCTTATATTCAGAGGTCTCTGTAAGGAACAGTGAGGTTCCAGCTGAGCATTTGGTTGGGAGAGTAATTAATAAACAAGGCAATCTGGATTTGAATCCGGCCAGGTCTGCTCCCTACCCTGCGGATACATCAGGAGTGGGCCTTGGGGACCTGCGTGGCCGTAGCCCACTGGGCTGCCCCCTTTGTCGTGCCGTAGTCAGCCTTGGTCTTGTTGGCAGTGCAGGGTTGAATGTCCCCACTTGGCAGGGTTGCTCAGACCTCTGCAGCAGTTAGTGTGTAAGTGGGAAGGGTCCTCGGCACCTCAGGACAAGGCCATGTGTCCCAGTCAGGTCCCCAGAGCACTGGCTCCCTGTCTACTTCCCTGGGAGGCTTGGGACACCTGGCGAGGCAGACCAGAAGCTGAAAGAATGGTGCAGGAAGGAGTGGGAAGTGCCGGGGCTGGGTACTCAAGCCAGCCCTGGTTCTGTCTGCACCCCACACCCGTGTCAGGACAAGTGTGCTCATCCCAGGAGGTGGGCCAGGCCCTGTGGTTATAGGTGCCGACCTCCAAGCCCTGAAAATAGTAAGGATGGGCTCAGGTCGACTGGCCCACAGGTGGGTGCTGGGGAGCCCGAGGTCACAAGGGAGGCCAGCAGCCATGATGGCAGATGTCACTGATGCACAGGGCTGATCACTGTCCTGCTAGATGTTTAGACCTCTGACTGGTTCTCTCCCTGACCCCTGATGCCTAGGAGTGGTCTGCAGATCTGAATCGAACTCTCAGCCGCAGGGAGAAGAAGAAGGCCGCTGATGGCATCACCCTGACAGGCATCAACCAGACAGGCGACCAGTCTATGCAGAGCAAGCCCAGCAGGTGAGTGCCAGGAATGGGCTCAGTCCACAAGAGGCCACCTGTGGGAGGGATCTCCTGGGCCATCTGCCTGGTCCCTCGGTGGCACCAGCTTGTTCAGCTGAAGAAGTCCTTGGTGGTAGAGGGACCCTAGAGGAAGGGTCCTCCACCCCCAGACATCTTTCCTGAAGCCCCCCAGGCTCCTGAGGACTGGGCAGTGTCTCAATAAGATTGTCTTGCTGCTTGGTGCTGGAGCTGCTAAAAGTTCACAGGGAAGGAGTGGGCATTCATGTCCGCAGGGAACGGCCCTATGTGGACGTGGCAGGTAGAGGTAGCGCGTGCAGGAGTCCTCCAGCAGGTCAGGTGCTGTCAGGGTGGATGTTTCCTTCCCACGCTCTGTACAGGTGCCAGTTGAGGGAGCGGCAGGGGACCCTCTAGTGTCCCCTTTTTAAACTACCTTCTTGCTGACAACATTGGTTATTCCTGGGTCAGGTTTTTTCTAAAAATTAGTTGTTTAGGCCAGGTGCTGTGGCCTATAATCCCAGTGCCCATAAGGCTGAGGCAGGAGGATCATGAGTTCAAAGCCAGCCTCAGCAAAAGTGAGGCAATAAGCAACTCAGCGAAGCCCTGTCTCTAAAAAATAAAAATAAAAAGGGGCTGGGGATGGGGCTCAGTGGTTGAGTGACCCTGGGTTCAATCCCAGTACCAAAAAGAAAGAAAGAAAGAAGAGTTGGCTGCACAGTTGTTAGATGCTTCTGGAAAGCATGTGTGCTGTGGAAGGCCTATTGCAGGACTTGCCCAGAGGCCGCTCTGTAACACTTAGTCACCTTGTGACTGGGTCTTCCCAGGAAGACTCAGCCAGGCACGTGGCCTGCCCGTCGCCCTGGGCACTGCGCCCACAGGCTCCCAGCAGATGTGGCTGGTCTTCGCTCAGCCGCTGTGCACGTGGTCTGGGCAGATGGGATTGGCAGTGAGCACTGGCTAGAGAGCAGGCCGGCCCTGTGTGCTGGGGCAGAGGGTAGGAAGGAGGCCCGCAGGCTCCTGGCTGGCCAGAGACACTGTACCAATGTGGGTGCCGGCGTCAAGCCCTCAGAAGAGTCTGCAGAGAAAGGTGCCAAGGAGAGCCGCCGTGCCGTGGTCTCACCCCATGCTCCATGCCAGACTGGACCCCATGAGGCAGTGGCTGCCATTCAGGCTACTCGGTGGCATCCGAGGTATTTCCTTGCCTCCCTTTCCCAGCTGTTCCCCAAAGCAGTGTGGCCCAGTAGAGGGCAGGACGTCAGCCCAGAGTTATTTGGTGGGCATCCACCGCCTTTTTTTTTTTTTTAGTTGAATTTCTTTTAGTCTTAGATGGACACAATACCCTTGTTTTATTTATTTATTTTTATGTGGTGCTGAGGCTGGAACCCAGGGCCTCCCACTTGCTGGGCAAGCGCTCTACCGCTGAGCCCCAGCCCAGCCCTCAGACTTCGTTCTTAACTGTTGTCCCCTCGCCCACCCCACCCAGTGCTTAGCACCCTGCAGCCCCTTCATCTCATCCCCCTCACTTCCAGTCTCTCTGGTCCCCACGCTGGGCCTGTCACACAGAAGGTGGCTGATAGAGTTGGGAGAGCGGGTGGTCTCCCACAAYACTAGAGAGACCCTCCGCGCTTCCTGGAAAGGGTTGCAGAGGAGCCTTTGGTCCTGACTCTGGAAACTCCAGCCCCAGGAGAACCAGGAAGCTGCCGCTAAGCCTTTTAGTAGTGAAAGGAGGGGGCCTCTGAAAAGTCCTGACCACACAGCACGCAGAGTTCAGGGACCATCGGTGTGATCTGGGGCTGGAGAGCTGGAGAGCTCTGAGTGGCCCCTGCCAGGCTGTCATCCTCCCAGGAAGGCCCACTGACTCTGCCCGGTTGGATCGGCCCCATGTGGGAACAGGGGGAGGGGAAGAATGTGGAGAAGCCCCGAGCCAAGAGCAAGTCAGATACCAGCTGTGGCCCATTGCCCCCGACCCCTAGGGCCTCTGTGCACATCGATGCCTCCAGGTGGAAGGAAGGAAGGTGGGCATCTGGTTGTCTCTAGACTCTTGAAGATTTTTGAACAGCTGAGGTTTGACCGCGTGTTTTTCTAAAATAACCATTTTTGTCCACGTGACATATTCCTCCTCCTCTGTACGAGGAACTAGTTTGTCTGGAAGGGCTGCGCTGTGATCCTGCCGCTGGGAGTCATCAGGACCCTTGGCGGGCCCCAGCTGAGGTCCCTGAAAGCTCTGTCTCTCCCCATAGCAACCTTAGTGTCCTGAACAACCCCGCCCAGTCTGCGCAGTCACAGTCCAGCTACAACCCCTTTGAGGACGAGGACGACACGGGCAGCACCGTCAGTGAGAAGGAAGACACTAAGGCCAAAAAGTTGGTGAACACGCGTCTCCCTCTGGTCTCTGCCTCGCTCGCTCTGTCTCCCTTTCTCTCTGTCAAGGTTCTCTCGGGGTCCCGGCCGCTCGGCACTCCAGCAATGCATGAGGCCTGYAGGAGGTGGGCGCCTGCCGCTCTGCACGCCAGGCCCCTGCAGGCCGTGGACGGTCTCTGGCTTCTCCACTTCTGGGGAGGGCACAGCTAACGCTCTTTGGTTGCTTTTTCTCATCCTGCATTAACCCTTCAAGGCCCTGGCACCACTGCCACAGGAACACAGGCTGTGCTGGGGACCTGCTGGAGCAGGCCCAAGTCTGCCTCTGCAGCCACTGATGTGGGGCGTCTCTGGCCCCGCTGTTGGGGGCTCAGGACGAGTGCGAAGGGCATGAATTCTCACAGGGATCTGGCTCCACCCAGGCTAGTACGCCAGAGGGAGCTGTGCCCCCTCAGGAGCCCTCAGCCCAAGGGGCAGAGGCCCTGGGTGGGGGCCTCAGTCCTTTGCCATCCCCATGCTGAGGGCCCTGTGACCACCTCTGTGTTACAGTGTGAGCAGCTATGAGAAGACCCAGAGCTACCCCACTGACTGGTCCGATGACGAGTCCAACAACCCCTTCTCTTCCACGGATGCCAACGGGGACTCCAACCCGTTCGACGAGGACACCACCTCAGGGACAGAAGTGCGAGTCCGGGCGCTCTATGACTACGAGGGTCAGGAGCACGACGAGCTGAGCTTCAAGGCTGGTGGGTGCTGGTCCTCCCTGCCGCCTCCCCTCTGTCCCTGCTGGGTGCGGATCCTCCCCGTGGCCTCCCCTCCGTCCCTGCTGGGTGCCAAAACTCAGAAGACAGCCAGGTGCCTTCGCGTCTCTCCCAGGAGGCCCGCCCTTGCTGGCCACTGGCTAGTCATGCCGGACCCACTACTGGCCTGAGCAGCAGGCCTCACTCACTCCCTCTGCTCAGCACAGCAGCCCCGCAGGCCCCGAGGGAAGCCTCGTCTCCCCAGGCCCCAGCTGCCAGGCTTTGCCCAAAACCCAGAGGGGTCTCCGACCCCATCATCACCCCTCTGCAGCCATGGTGCGCGCTCCTTGCCACGGGCAGTCGGGGCCCTGTCCGCACGTGCTCTGCTGCGCATTTTCCACCCTACTCTCTTTAATGCTGGCAGCATTTCACCAAAATGGGCCTGGGTTTGGTGAGCACTCCCTCAGAGCCCGCCCAGGAGGTTCCTTCCCTTGCCCTGCACCTCCCTAAAGCCAGAGCCACCCCTCCAAGAAGAGGGAGGCCAGGCTGGAGCTCAGCAGCAGGGCGGGGTGTGTGCCCCTGAGGCCCCACCTGTGGAGAGGCTAGGTGCCCGTCCCCTCCCCTAACAGCCAGGCTCCTGACCCTCCTTCCCCGGGGCGCTCAGTAAGGCCAGCCAGCTGCCCCAAACACCTGTGCCCAGCACTGGTCATCAGGCATCTCTGGCCTGCTGTAGACTTTTCTTTCCTGTGGTGCTGGGAACCTAACCCAGGTCCTGCACGTGTTCTACCAGGTAATTGCGTGCCTGGCCCTAGAAGTGTTTTATGTACCTTTAAGCCATCTTCATCCACTTTTCTGATTTCAGTGATTCTTGTGGTCACTCACTACTTTGTTGGTTTATTTACTTTTAACTTCTAATCATTTTTGCATTGTACGTATTGGCCTTGGCAGCAATTTCATAGATTTCAAATGTGTCCTCCAGCTGTGAGTAAATTGTCAAAAAAGAAACGCTGATGGGAATGAGTGTTGTCTAGCCACCAGCCGCACTCCTTCGCTTTCCTGCCGGTCTCTTGTGGTTTTGCTTTTTTTTTTACCATGGAAAGCAGTGCCCAGCGGTGCTGCTCCTCCTGTGTCCGCAGCAGACTGAGCTCCCTCTCTGGACGTGGTGCTCACAAAGCCCTACCTGGGTTCTGTCCGCCCCGTGCAGCATCACCTGCCAGCAGCCTCTGCACGGACATGGGGAGCAGCTGGAGCTGGGCAGCTGCTGGAGCTGGGCAGCTGCCTCTAAATGCAGCCACTGTGAGGGCTGGACCGTAGGCCGGAGGGGCAGGGGAAGCTGGCAGCTCATTGTGGACACAGACTCACGTGTTTCCAGCCCATTTTGTGGGAGCCCTGCTGCAGGGGTGGCAGGGCAGTGGGAGTCGAGAGCACAGCCAGCACCAGTCTCACTACCTCCCGGGCCCTGCGTGTTGAGTGCATGGGCGCACGGCACCTTCCCTCCACAGACAGCAGATACCCCGAGAACAGGAGCTGCCCACGACGGCAGACGGCAGCCCCGGCTTGAGCTTTCCACCCACTGCTTGCAGCTGAGGACACCTGGGGTCCAGGCTGCTCTGCTTGCCCTAGCTGGCAAACATGGGACCTGGGACCCTGCCCCAGTGCCACCTCCCATCCCAGCTCCCATCGCCACACCATGGACCTTATTCCCCATCTCTCTGGGCTGGGCTCTGTCCATTTCTCTCATCTCTGTGTCTCTCCCTCCAGCAAGGCTGGGCCTGGAGCTGGGGCTTCTTCAGGTTGGAATAAACGAAAGATAAGTGAAGCCACACTAATGCACAGAGCCACAGGGAGGTTCCAGAATGAAGCCTGTGACTTCCATCTCAGCATGTAGAGGAGGATTGACAGATGTCATCTTGCACAAGCCAGGGAATGACAGGTCTGAGTCATACATGATCTCTGGCCTCCCATAACCTGGAGAGTGGCAAGGACAGGGATTAACAGAGACCCACAGACCATGGCCTCAAGAGCTAGATGAGATAGGAAGAGCTGGCTGTCTGGGATTCAGGAAGGGATGCAGCATTGAGAGCCTGAACTGTGAGGAACAAGGGACTGGCAGGAAGGCAGAGGCCAGGCTGGTAGTATTCGGCTCTGCAGCATCTTTGGGGATTATTATAGCAACTGAGAGCGGGGTGCTGCAGGGTCACTATGTGAGAGCTGTTTTCTTTAGATCCTGGGCTCCTGGGACTAAAGAAACATTAGAGAAATAACCAGGCCCACTGCCCCTCCACCCAGAAACACCCTTCACAAGCTCTCCTGCAGCCAACATCAGGTCAGTGTCACCAACCCTCTAAGACCACTCCCTCTTTATTTTGCAGGAGATGAGCTGACCAAGATAGAGGACGAGGATGAGCAGGGCTGGTGCAAAGGACGCTTGGACAGCGGGCAAGTTGGCCTGTACCCAGCCAACTACGTCGAGGCCATCCAGTGACAGGCTGTGAGCAGGCTGGTGGAGGGATGGAAATGGCTGGCTCTGAGCTCCGCTAGCCTAGGCCTGGGCAGCAGCACCTGGGTGCCCCAGCAGCCATGTGGCATCCACTCCACCTGCAAAAGATGGTTTCTTGGTCTCCTGGTGTCCTTTGAAGGCAGACAAGCTGATCGTTTCCCCTGGGATTCAGCCCCTTTCCAAGTGCATCTGGGGAGGACTGGGCACAGGCAGATGCAGCATGGAGAGCCAGGCCTTTCCCTGCCCGCTAGCTCTGTTGGCTTATCATGGATCTGTCTATTCTTGACCTCGTCTCCTCCAAGTCAATGGTGGTTACACTGATTCTTGTTCCACTGATTATTTTCCCTGATGAGTCCCATACCTGTAAGTTAAATGAACAAACTTACATGCCAATTTCTGAGTAAAGATTTTGAGGTTTTTAATTTAAAGGCGATGTACAGTTATACTTTTTTTATACACCTGTTCTTCCATTCATTTGTACATAAGTGATGGTGAGACTGAGCCGCACCGTTCTGTTCTCAAGGACACAGTACCTCCATTTCCATGCCGTGCTGCTCATCAGCCAGACCTCTTCCTGGGCAGGTGCAGGACCACAGTCCTGCGACAGGGAGTGCCCTTGGCAGAGACCTGGCAGAAAGGTGGGGGACATGTGTGGTGAGGTTTCAATACAGAGTGCGCATTGCAGAGAGAACCTTTTGAAGAACTCCCCAGAGTCGCCATATTTAAAAATTATTTTCATTCTGTTGCTTAAAACTTTACTCTTGTACAAATTAACATTCTATCAGTGATTGGGAAGGTTAAAACATTAAAAGATTAGCTTTTCAGGCAGATGCATCTGTAGATTAAGATGCTTTATATTGGACTGCCATGTCTTGCTGTATATCTGTATATATTATTTGATATTCAGAGAATCTAAAGAGTTCACCTAGTGTTTAAATGAGGTTTAATAGCTTCTGAACGTGGGTGTCATTATAAACTGCTTGAAGCCTGAGGTGACCACCTGGGGTGTGGCTGACTGGCTGGCTGGACCTCCTCTGGACTCTGAGGCGGCTCTGGCTGAGGCGGTACTCACTGGCCAACTGTGGCTCCAGCGCCTTGACAGGCCCCAGTTCCAGCTCCCTGCAGGGCGCTGTGCAAGCTCCGCCACAGAGCCGGTTGGACTTGCAGGCTGTGCAGTCACCTGTGTTCCTCAGGAGCTAAGGGAGGCTGGGTCTCACCCAGTGCACAGGTCCCTTCGAAGTTCCAATGGTGGGCAGAGGGGAAGGTGCMGGAGGGCCTTGGTCTTGCTGCCTGAGCAGCCCAGCAAGCTGTGCACTTGCTCAGTGTTCACAGCCAGCGCGGGTCTTGCTTGGAAAGTGGGTGCGTCTGTGTGTCACGCAGCTTCCCAGCAGAAACCCTTGTGCCTGTGCTGCAGAGTTACCAAAAACTGTTGTCTTTGATTTTTAGATGTACAGTATTTTAGAGCAAAATCAATAAACAGTTGATCTCATGCTTCCCCGAGGCCTCTGCTGTGCATCTACCTCCCGCTTGCGTCAGTGGTTTTCCCAGGGTCATTGGCTTTGGAACTGGACCAGATCTAGGGCACAGGGCCTCTGCCCAAGGGGTGCCCCACTGCCCCCGACAAACCAGAGGTTGGGGTGGGCATCTGCCTAGCGTTTACCTCTCCACAGGCCCTCACAGCAGCAAGGCCAGTGATCACTCACCCCCCAAAGCTGTCCTCAGAACATCTTTTTCTGAGCACCTACTATGTGTTGGTCCTTGTGCTCCACTTTGTATTTATATCGCCTGCAAACAAGTCCTCAAACAACTCCATGGGTGGGACTGAGTCCCTGTTCCTGTTTTACAGAGGAACAGCAGAAGCTCCCAGAGCCAGATCTGCCCCAGGAGGGCTGAGGTGCTCAGCAAAACCCCAGGGCCCACCCTTCCACTGGGCTGGGCAGAGTGGGGAGGTGGGCTGACCTGGGCAGCCCCTACTGATGTGAAGTGGGGCAGGGGAGGGGTGAGGGTTGCCACAGCCACACTCACCAAGCCCTGCGAGGCTGCCCAGCCAAACACCCCTCTAGCCATGGGGCTCTCCCAAAGGAGCCACCTAAAGGGGGGCAGCAGGTGGCACCTCTGCCCCGTGCTAGATCCATTCTTACGGCCACCCCACCACACAGGGACCTGTGGTGGTGCCTAGGCCTACTGCCCTGTCCTGCTCTGCTCTTAGGGGCAAACTTGGGAAGCCCACCTCTTCTCCGGGCCTCTGTTCCCAGGCAAAAGGATGTTGGCCTTCCCCCTTGGAGGGTTTGGGTAAGGGGGAGTCCACAGGCGCTCAGGAGGCATCATTGTCCTAATTCTGAGGGGCACTCAGGTGGGGGCTGGGACTCTGCCATCCCTGATTGGCCTTCCCACCACCTCCATGTGGAGCTGCTATGTTCTCCTGGCTCCTCCTCGTTCTGCCTCCCACAGCCACCCACAGCCACCATGCTGAGCCACAGCCGCCCCCGGAGCTCCACACTGCACTTGGGAGGAGTGTCAGGGCCCCAACCTGCTCCTGAGCAGGGGCTTGGTTCAGGTGCCAGGAAGTGTTCCTTCCTCTTCCTCCCAGCCGCACCTCCCCACCACCTCCCACCATAATGCAGACCGAGCCCAGGGACCTGACTGCTACACCTGAGATAGTGCTGCGTTTTTGCAGACAGGAGAGGACTGCCTCTGTCCCAGGCTTTGGGACAGGGCCCTGAGCCACCCAAACATATGGAAGGCCTCTAGTCACTTGGCCTGGTCTTCTCTGAGCAGGCTATGGGTGGGGCTGGGCTACACCAAGGCCCTGGGCGCTGGGACAGCCCATCAGGGCAGGGATGGGCAAAGTGGGGAAGTGTTGAGAGCCACAGCCTAAGCAGCCCCAGCAAACTTCCAGCTGATTGGCTCCTCTGTGGTGATGCTCATTGGCCTGTTTCCCCGCCCTTTCAGACCACGGAGCTGCTCATTGGGGGACTCTTGGCTCCGCCCACGTGACCCAGCCAATCGGCCTCAAGAGCGGGAGGAGTGGGGGTTGAGAGGCTCCCAGGAAGCCGGTGGTGGCAGTTGGGCTCTGAGGGGATTCCTGAAGAGCTGTGTGGTGTGTCGTTTGTGTGTGTGTGTGTGTGTGTGAAAAATAAAGTTCGTTTCAGCTTGACAAGTGGCTTGTGCCCAGCCAGACTGCGGCATTTGGTGGCCCGCATGGGAACGACTGAGGGTAAGTGATAAGGTAAACTGTTCGCCCCTGAGGGCAGGGCGAGAGGATGGGGAGCCACTTTAAGATTCTTCTTTCATTTTGCGTCACTTTTGTTTTAAGTTGCCTGACCCTGGAGATGGGTGAGACGGAAGAAAAACCGCTCACATCTGAGGGAAAACTATTTGCGTCTGAGGAACAGATAGGGAGCAAGGGCGGATGGGCATTTCAGGAGGATGGAAAGGCTGATATAATGAATTTTTGTTCCATTTTTGTTTCATTCTGTCTCGGCTTTGTTTGGCGTCATGTTGTTGGGTTGTATTATAGTAGAAATGTGGGATCAGAAATTAGTAAAAAACAAACCGAAAGAGTGTTAAGTAAATTGTTAGAGGAAGGAGGCATCCCAGTAAAATCAAGAGCAGTCAGGGCATACGTTGATACAATACAAAAGTRTAGCCCATGGCTTTTTAAGGAGGAGTTGTTAAATATACCACAATGGAACCATCATGGTGAAGATTTAAAAAGAATAGAAAAGAAAAGCCCAGGGACTCTGCCAGCTGGCACATTGCCATTGTGGATGATGATACGATTTTGTTTGCCTAGTCCAAAGCCTTCAGTTCATACTATGGTAGAAGACATATTAGATCAAGTAACAGAGAAGGTCTCTCGAGCTAGTCAGACAGAGGAAGAAAACTTAAAGGAGGAAAAGCCATCAGGGGAGAAGTTACAACAGGAGGCTGTTACTAACACCTTTCTATCACCAGAGGGCGGAAGTGTCCAACCAACAGCTCCACCTCCATATGCTGGGAGGCCCCCAACCCCTGTAGTTGATGGATGGGATCCTGAGACAGGACCTCAAAGATTAGCATGCCCTGCATTTGAACAGGCAAGAGGGCAGCGAATTCACCGTGTTTTAGATTTCAAAACAGTGAAGCAGCTAAAAGAGGCTGTAACGATCTATGGTCCTCAAGCACCCTTCACCGTAAACATGGTCGAATCCATTACCAATTTGAGCATGACGCCAGCAGATTGGACTAGTATGTGTAAAGCCGTGCTAAATGGAGGACAATACCTGTTGTGGAAGGTTGCCAATGAGGAATTTTGCACGGAGATGGCTGGGCAAAATGCAGCAGCCGGTTATCCTCAGAGAAATCTAGATATGTTGTTAGGAAAGGGACCTTATGAGGATCAGCAGCAACAAATTGCATATGATCCTGGCGTATACTCACAAAATGCTGTAGATGCGGTTAGAGCATGGAAGACTTTACAAGGACATGGAGGTTTACAAGGTCAATTATCTAAGGTAATACAAGGAACTAATGAACTTTATGCCGAATTTGTAGATAGGCTTATTCAAACAGCTACCAGAGTTTTGGGGAATACAGAATAAGCAATGCCATTAATAAAACAACTGGCTTATGAGCAAGCAAATCGTTGGTGCAGAGATGTCATTAGACCATGGAAACATGGAGATTTAAACACATATATTAAATTATGTAGAGACATTAATGAACAAGGGCAAGTCTTGACAGCTGCAGTACAACAGGCTTTAGATGCCAGGCCAAAAACATGCTACAATTGTGAACAAACAGGACATTTTAAAAGGAATTGCCCCATAGAAGGAAGGTTTAACAAAACTAGGTATCAAAGGAGTAGAATACCGGGTATTTGCCCACAATGCCGTAGAGGGAGACATTGGGCTAATGAATGCCATTCTCAAACCACCATAGAGGATACTCCGTTATCAAAAAACGGACAAGGACCAGGTGTTTACCCACAATATCATGGAGAAAGGCATCGGGCTCCATTGCCAAAAAACGGACAGGGGGGCCCAATGCTCCGGGGCCCGTGACCAAAAATATACGGGGCACTGGAGGAACCCAGCAACACCATCAGGGTAGTGCCCAGGACACATTATCCATTAGATCCCTCACTAGACAAACCAGAGGAAGCRCAGGATGGGACATCTGCTCCTCCACCAGATCAGTACTAACTCCAGAGATGGGAGTTCAAATCATTCCCACAGGAGTAAAAGGGCCTCTTTCCCAAGGAACAGTAGGCTTATTATTGGGACGCAGCTCTTCTACTCTAAAAGGACTTATGATAAGTCCTGGGGTAATTGATCCCTATTATGAAGGTGAAATAAAAATTATAGCCAATTCTCCAAGGGGTATGTCAGTAATTTCACCAGGAGATAGAATAGCACAGTTACTAATAATACCCAGCCTACATGATAAATTTTCCAGTCATACTGTAGAAAGAGGTTCCAAGGGATTAGGCTCCACAGGTGTAGATTGGGCTATGCTTTCTTTAAATTTAGATTCTCGCCCCATGCTAAAACTAAATATTCAAGTAAAAGAGAAGGTCTTTTACTTTTAAATTTAATGGGCTACTGGATACAGGTGCAGACCTTAGCATCATCTCTCGTCAAGAATGGCCAAAACATTGGCCGTTACAACAAGCCACTCAAAACGCTTCGAGGCCTAGGAGTGGCGACTAATCCCCATAGAAGTGCAATGGTATTAGATTGGGAGGATCCTAAAGGATGTAAGGGAACTATACAGCCATATGAATTGGATCATCTTCCTGTAAATTTATGGGGACGAGTTGGGACTAACATTAACAAATAATATCAATTCAAATGCGTCCACTATTATGGCTAGACAAGATTTTAGGAAAGGAAAAAGATTAGGAAAACAAGGTATAGCACCACTAATACAAATAGATGAAGAACAAACAGACATGGATTGGGTTTTCAGGAGGGGTCACTGAGATAATTAAAATTACATTGAAATCAGAAAGACCAGTATGGGTTCCTCAGTGGCCCCTGACTAAAGAAAAGATACAAGCAGCCCATGACCTGGTCAAACAACAATTATTGGAGGGACATATACAACCTTCTGTATCTCCCCATAATACTTCCATTTTTGTCATCAAAAAGAAATCTGGTAAATAGAGATATTATTGCAAGATTTAAGATCCATTAATAATGAGATGGTTATTATGGGACCTGCTCAATTGGAGATTCCTCAATTGTCTGCTTTGCCAAAAACCTGGTATGTTTTAGTTATAGATATTAAAGATTGTTTTTTTTTTCCAATTCATCCTGAGGATAGTCCACGTTTTGTATTTACTATCCCTGCACTGAATCATGAAGGTCCTGATCAGAGATATGAATGGAAAGTACTCCCTCAAGGGATGGCTAAAAGCCCAACTATGTGTCAAATTTATGTTAACAAAGTAATCCAGCCACTTAGAAATCAAAATCCTGAACTACAAATATTTCACTATATGGATG